GCCTGCCTCTGCCTCCTGAGAGCTGGGATTATAGGCATGTGCCACTCCTGGCTTCTTTTCTATTCTTTTCCACGGAAGGCTACTCGGTACAGTTCCCGACATAAAGTTCTTCAGCCCATGGATTTAGATGCCCTCTACATGATGAAGCTGGACCCTAAGGTGCCATCTAGAAGTAGGTGTTGCATGATAGACAGGGTGAGGGCTTAGGTGCTTTTAAAATCTGATACTTCCCTCAGGGTACCAGTTTCCACATTACTTATTATCTATTTGCCTGTATTTATGTGTGTCTGTGTGAGCGGTTGAGGAGGTCAGCGAGGGTATCAGATCCCCTGGAGCCAGACTTATAGGCAGCTGTGAGGCTCTATGTGAACACTGGTGGATTCAGGTCCACTGAAGAGCGGCAGAAAGCATTCTGAACTACTGAGCCATCTCTCCAGCCCTTCACTGTTTATTATTGTTGCCTTTTTAAATTTTTATTTATTTATTTATTTTTTCAAGACAAAGTGTCTCTGTGTAACAGCCCTAGCTGCCCTGGGACTTGCTCTGTAGACCAGGCTGGCCTCGAACTCACAGAGATCCACCTGCCTCTTCCTCCCAAGTACTAAGATTAAAGGCATGCTCCATCACCACCTGGCTTATTGGTGTTTTTTTTACAAAGCCTAATAGTCAAGTACAGTAGGCTATTCTAAGTTACAATTCATGACCACCATATTCCTCATCACCCTGGTCATCAACATTACATACACATTTTCTTGAGTTTCTTTGAAATCAAATACCCTTGTGATGAGAACATGAAAAAGTGGTCCCTTTCTCAGTGCAAACAAGACATGGGAATACCCACTTCTGACTCAATTCACTGCTTGAGATGTTCAAGTCAGAGTTAAACAAGACGGGAGGAGATGGAAGCCTGGCCTGCTCTTGGGAACATGCCACGGGATGCAGGAAGGAACCCCATAGCAGTTTTCAGGGCCAAGTGCAGAGTGAGGTGTCAGACGGCCTCTGAGAGGCCACCCAGGCTCTGAGTACATCTCAATGGACAATCTGGGACCACACAATGCTGTGACTGAGGCTGGATGCTGAGGTAGTGTGTGTGGCCCGGTGCTGGCCCCTGACTCAGAGAGAGCCCTTGGTGGCCTGAGGGCAGGTGTGGAAGGCTCCTGTTCATCTCCAGTTGCTTGAGGCTGGAGATGGGTTGGGGCTATGCTGGGTGCTGGCCCAGGAAGCTGCTGGGACTGGCTGGCAGAAGGAATGTGCCAGCACAAAGGTATGGTCAGCGACTGAGAAGGCACGCCTCCTGGCTAGGCTGCTGATCCCATGCTCGGTGGTCCAGGGAGCAGTGAGTTACAGCTTTCCTTCCTTTTCCTTTTCCTAATTTATCTTTTTACATTTCCTTATCAATACGCATATGTGAGTGAGTGTGTATGTGTGTGTGTGTGGGGGGGGCAGAAGACAACTGTGGGAGACAGTTCTCTCTCTACCACACGGGTCCCGGGAATGAAACTCAGGTCATCAGGCTTTCCCTGCAGAGCCACCTGCTAGCCTGGCCCCCTTTTCCTTACACAATTCAAGTGACTAGAAAGCCAGCCGGGGATGAGCGTGAGAGGCTCGAGAGCCACAGGAGAGTGTGACGACAGCGCTCTGGTGAAGAGAACCAGCGTCCTCCTCTTGGACAGAAGCCCTCAGACTGCGAGAGGTGACTGTGCAGGCGGTGGGAAGGACCCTGTTCTCACCTGCAGAGGCTGCTCCCTCGTGACCACAGGGTTCCCATTTCGAGGTGAATGGCTGAGGGTCCTATGGCAGGCTTCCACCAGAGAGGAGACAGAATAGGAACACAAGAATGGGGCCCCTAGAAATGTTTTACAAGAGGTAACAAAGAACCATGCCAGCTCCCAGGGAGAGTTGGCTGAGTTCACCAAGCACCTTCCCGGGCAGCCAGCCCAACTTGGGAGGCATGACTGTCATTCACCAGCTTAAGACAGAGTAGGCAGCAAAGAGCTTAAAACAAATGTGTGTCAACCAAAAATCATGGTTCTGGTGGACATTATGGCTTAAAGAAATCCCTGGAAACCAAAGACTATTATAGAAAGTTGGACCATGAACACCCTGGTGAAGGGACTGCCATGGTGTGGGGGCCAATGGCCACAGTCAAGGGACCAAAGTGATGACGAGTGGAATAGAGGGGAAGGACATGAGGCGAGCATAGAAGGGACACAAGGCTGCTTCACACAACCCTCTGAAGGACTCCCTTTTTTCCAAATAAACAGCCACCAGAAGCCAGGGCTTGCAGGAGCTCTGGACGCCAGGCAGAGCATCACACTGACTCCTGCCCACAGCCGGCCCTGGTAGAGTACACAGAAGCCATCAGTTGGTACTGTAGAAGGCACTCTGCTACCCCAAAGCTGTTCTACCTCATGGGTCTAAAGATGACAGAAGAGGAATCCTAGCATTGGGAGGCAGAGGCAGGAGGCTTAAGACCTCGTCTCCAAAACATTCAAGAAAAAATAAATTAAATAAATAAGCAAGGTGATGAAATTCTGTAACTCTGCCTACTTGGCCTGAAATGTTCTGGAGTGTACACACCTCCTTGCTAAGCCTAGCATCAGGCCAGAGCCTGGTCACTGTAAGTGGCTCGGTGGTCCCAGGCTGCTGTACCTCACATTGCACACTTGCCTACATCCTCCAGGCTGGACGCTTCACCACAGACACAGGGGAGCAGTTTCCACACATGATATCCAAGTTAAAGAAGCAGAAACTTAGATTTGTGACCGCAATCAGAGATGTAAAAAATACCCAGTTTATTTGGTCAAGCTAGATGATAAATTTGATATTCTGGTTAAAAGTAAAATTCTACCTTAGTAAAAGATTTTAAGGAATCTTAGAGAACTCGATTAGGCAAGCTCTCAAGAGGGTGACTGGCCATATATATGTGTGTGTGTGTGTGTGTGTGTGTGTGTGTGTGTGTATACACACACATATATATAATTATATATTATATATACATATATACAATTATATATATATATATATATATATATATATATATATATATATTTTGGAGACAGGATTTTTCTATGTTGTCTTAACTGTTCTGGCGCTTGCTATGTAGACCAGGCTGTTCTCAAATTCACAGCGATCTGCCTGCCTTTGCCTCCCAAGTGCTGGCACTAAAGGTGTGCATCAACACACCTGGCTTGACCATAATTCTCGAACACTCCAAGCACACGTGTTGGGGGTGTTTCTGATATCCATGGTTACCGTGAATATAACCATTAACGCTGGAAGTGAGGTGGCATGTGGCCAGAAGGGAACACATTTTGCAAGCATAAGCAGACATTTACGGGTATCTAATGTGGTGGCAGACACTGGGGTGAGCAATGGCAGGAGCCCAGGATGTTCAGCTCCAAGCAGTCCCCTACTGGCCCGGGGTCTCACAGCACTCGTGTGGACAGATGAGATGATGACTGAGCAATGACAGCCACCACAACTTATGTGTAGTCACCACCCAGGCTCCACAGGCGTCTCTTCCTTACCACCCAGGGAGGTCAACACCCTCTTTCCAAAGGCAAACGGAGCTAAGCCTTGAGACCAGAACGTAGGTGGCAAAAGTCTTCAACTCTAGATTCTCCAACTCCTGTGCTCTTGACCACCGGGCCTGTTCAAGTCCCAGGTAATTCCCTAGGAATAACCAAAACCACAGACCTGGGGCCTAAGCAGGAAGGGAGGATTTGCTCTCTTGGGACCTGCTCGTTGAAACCATGGGCTCCTGTTGCTCACCTGGGCACAGATGCTGCCATATGCTGCCACCTGAGGAGAAGCTTTGCTATTTAGTGTCTCTGGGCCAACTCTGAAAGCACCAGAATACACATTCAATCATCTGATTGCATGAGGTGTTTTATTGTTGATGTTTTTTTTTTTTGACTTTTGGGATACGGTTTCTCTGTGTAGTCCTGGCTGTTCTGGAACTCACTCTGTAGACCAGGCAGGCTTCAGACTCACAGAGATCTGCCTGCTTCTGCCTTCTGAGTGCTGGGATTAAAGGCTTAGGGCACTACACTTGCATACGGTTTAAAAATGTACCAGGACTCAGTTGCTCTAGCATGCAAGGCTCTGAAGCGAGGGCTGGAACCAGGCAGGGAGCTCTGAGGGGAGCACTCGGGAGGGTGTAGTACTCTGAGGGGAACAGGAAGCTGAAAAGAGGGTTGGCCTCTGTTGATTACCCAGGTCTCCTACTTAGTAGGCCAGGTCTACCTGTGACCTGAGAAGCGGCCATTCCTGTAAGAACGCACTCCAGGAAGAGTGTCTTCAATTGCTGAGCTCCCTCAGCGATGCCATTCTGACCTAGGGACCAGCAGAGACCAGAGGCTGGGGCAGTGAGAGCCTGTTACTGGGTGAGGAGAAGGGTGAAGTGCAGGAGAGTCCCCTACGAGTGTGACAAACCAGATGAGTCATGGTTTTAAGTAAACCGTGATTCAAGGTAGTTGGGTCAACCTTGAAAACATGTTTCATTCTGACATCTGGTGCTCCCAGGTCTGAAGGAAGAAGAGAATATAGTGAGGAGCCAGCGAAAGGAGGAATCAATTCCCAGGAATCAGCAGCACCTTGCAAGAAACATCACAGCAGCCTCAAGCATCTAAGTGCCAAACACAGTGTCAAATCGCAGACACGGTCTCCACTGATCCTAACAAGGACAGAAACTCCACAGCACTGCTGCGATGCCACTTCTCTGCTACAAGGAAACATCGCCTTTAAGTGACTCTTTCAAGTTCAAGTTGTGTTTCAAGTAGTCACCTCGCAGAAGCCCCAGAAGAATTCCTGCTCCCCCAGGTTTGGTTTAAAGTGCCTATTAAAAAAAGTACGAAAATGGAAAATACGCCTTAGAGGACTGACCTTCTCAAGGCTGCTCACTGCTTGCTTCCTTCCAGGCGTTTGTTACAGGACAGAACCAAATCCAATGCCATACCATGAGGTAGCGGCCAAGAGGGTTTGTTTTTCCCCTAGAAACACAAAGAATGGGAATGACTGCAAGTATTCCCATCCGATTAAACAGGAAATGCCATAAAGTAAGCTACGGAGACTTCCCTGGTGTAGTTTGAAGAAATTCAGCACCAGAGTCTAAGGGGTATGGAAGAACAGTACTAAGGTGCTCAAAAGGAGGAAGGGAGCTCACCAGGCAGAAGGCAGAGCCGCTCACAGCTGCAGAATATGCAGAAGAGCCGGAAGAGCCTACTCTTCAACTCCACCCGGACTTCACTGACTGCGAGAGTGAGACACCCGCCATCTGAAGCAATGGACTCTCATCCCTACCCCAGAACTGTGTGTGTACAACAAGTTGAGCTAGAAGGAACCTTTGGATATGACTCAGAAGACAGAAAGACCCCTCGGCTTACCAAAGCAGTCCTCTGCCCCCCACCCAAGGACAATCAATGAAATATGAGCTTTAGTATTTATAAATAAACCGGGCCTTGCTTCCAGAAGACACTCAGGAAAGTGTGAGACTTTCAACAGCCAACTGACAGGGAGAGGCAAAGGTTTTCCAGTTTCTCCAGCCAGAATTTAGGTCTGGGAGCTGAGGCCATACTACAAAATGATGTATATTTTAGGAATAAACACACCTGCACGCCAAGGAAGCTCAAGCGCTTGCTGAGTTGGCTGGATTACCCTTGGTAACCCTGGGGCCTGGCTTCTGCACACACTTGAATGTTCACTGCAGGAAGAGGAGAGCGCCCCTACCCACCTTAGACACGGAAAAGATTTTAAGCCCATGTAAGATGCAGCCAATCAACATTAACATGGTGAGCATTATGAGGTGCGTGGGGCACAGGGCCTCCACTGTCCTGCGGAAGCACTTGGGGACGCAGGCATGTGCGAGTAGTACACGAGGCACTTGGAATTTCCACAGGAGGCCAGCCCACCTGTGTACACGGCTTCTCATTTAAAGCCCAGCAGAATCGAAGAGCGCACTCTCTGCCTAGGGAAAAGCATCCCACCGAAGGCCAGGGTGCTGTGACTCAATGCCTACTTGCAAACCCTGGGCCAACTCACACAGACAGGGTTCCTGCCAAGCTCCAGGCATTTCACAAGGCAGAGAGGGAGGGCTGTGTCCCCTCTGCCTCCTTGTAAGGTTCCCAGAAACGCAAGCACAATTCTTGGGAGGCCCTCCGTATTTGCTGAGTGGCCCAGGGCAGGTGCCATTATGCCTCTCCAATCACTGGCTTTCTCGGTGCTCTCTTGGCTAAGGGGAAGCGACAGTAAGAAGGAAGCCTTGCTCTACCCCTCTGGTGGGCATTTCTCAGGTAGTTCTAAAGCCTCTAAGTGCACACAGTAAAAGTCACCTCATCCTTTCCAGAGCATCCGACCACAGGAGGACTGTGTAACCAGAAAAGCCTCCCTACTCTAAGAGAGCACGGCGGTGCCTGTCATACTCCTTGGAGGACTTCTGAGACCCCTAGCACAGGGCACTGTGGAGCAGGTACCAAGTAGAGCCCTCAAGGAGAGCTAGCTGTTTCCGTAAACACCTGACTGGCATCTTGTGAGAATCTGAGGCACCACAGCAAGGACAGCCCTACCTTCACCACCTCCATAAAGAGACTGTGTTTCCGAGACACCTCTGAGGGGTGGCCTCTCCCCACTTATAAAGGTACAATGACACTGTGGAGTCATCGGAGATCAGAGTAGCCTCAGCAGCCGTGAGATGTAACAGAACACTCGCTCCAGCACAAACAAGATTCAGACACAGCCCCCGCAGGCTTTTGGTTGCTGTATGGTGTGGAAAGCCCAACCAGAGCCATGACTCCTCAGAGCAACCGCACAGCACGCTTGGCCCCTTAGAGACCAGCCCTTCCTAGGACCAACTGCTAGCTGGTAAATCCACGTTTTAGCTCCTGCTAAGGAAAAGATGCAAAGCTAGTAAAATTGACTACTGTCCACAAACAGGTTCTGCATTTACACACGGCATGTGTTTGACACAGCCATGTAACTGAAGGTCGACAGACTCAAGGTTTATCTGAAGCACCAGGAGACGGTAGCATAGATAGCTCATGACTACGATTCAAAAGTAAACATATACAGACAGACGTGTCGCGTCACATGGCACAGCACGCACACATTCACTCATCTCTCACTTTCTCATCGCACAGAACATAAACACTCTTCACATAAAAAACACTTCATTTTAAATTAAGCACTTAAATCTTTGAAAAATCTATGTTTAGATATGTTAGAGAAACAAACAAACAAACTTTAGACTCTAGCCTAGGAGAGTGTCTTGATTACACAACTGTAGCCTAAGACCTTCCAGTGAAAACAAATTGCACTTCCCCCAAGATGTTTGCGTTTCAGATTTTAAGATCCAGCCTCCGTTGCCAAATGCAACATCTACCCCGTCAAAGCACCTTACCGAGATGGGAAGGACCACTCACGCAGACTTGACCAAGACACAGGTGCAGTAGGGAAACACAGCCGACATGACAGGGGCTACAAGCTACTGCTCGGCACTAAAAGAGAGTGGTTACCAAGAGGTTCGGCTGACTTTGAAACATCATAGTAAAATTAAATACAGCCCTGCTTTTCAACAGGTCTCTCTCTCTCTCTCTCTCTCTCTCTCTCTCTCTCTCTCTCTCTCTTACACACACACACACACACACACACACACACACACACCAAAAATTAACAGTTTGGCACTTAGCAGCTTTTGTTATTGCATCCCATATTAAGTTGCAAATTTATTTTATAAAACATTAATTTCTGCAGCCATAGTGTCAATGAACTGAATTGAAAAACCTGTTTGTTTGTCTGTTTGTTTTTTTAATGAACTGACCAAGTCAACAGGCACTAGTGACATCACCATTGGACCCATGACTCTAAATAAGGAACTGTCTCCTTGGAGAGGCCTGAAGCAGACTGAGAATTTTAAACTTCAGGAGTTTAAACAAACAAACAAACAACACCACAACAAACACAAACCAAAACAGAGCAGTTGCCACAGCTGTCCTGCACCAGTTTCGCTCTGCTCTGGCAGGCCATGGCTGTCCTGTGCAGGTATTTCACCAAAGTCAACTTGCCCTTCTGGCAATTTCTCTCCTCTGAAGCCCCCATCTCTGGAAGAGCAGAAGGTGCTCTTTCTACTGTGGCTTCCTCAATGGAAAGCAACATGGCTAATATGCAACATAATCCATTGACTGACAGTAAATCTGACTGGATGGGATGGCATGGATGGGTGGCACATCTGGCCTAGAATAAAGGATAAAAACTTAGACCTTCTCTTGCCAAGTTGCTTCTGGCCACAGCAGAGTTAGGAAGCCACTCCCAGCCCTTTTTACATCCACCCTCTGGGTTCTTCTCCCCAACTTTTTATAATGCCAATCCCTCGAGACAGGTATAGGAAAATCCCTGCAGAGAGGCCATGCCCTTTCAGGTCCACAGGCGGGAAAAGAGGATTGATGTTTCATATGCATTTTAATTGCATATAAACATCTCATGTAGGAAGTTTCTAGAAGAAATTCCTGTTCTCCAATTTATAACCAAAGGATGTACTTATACATTTAGTGATCACTAAGATACAATGTTGCCTCTTCTAGCCATACTCTAAGAGAAAGAAACTTGTCGAAAACAATTAGAAATGAAGAACTCTGTATCAAGTTGACTAGAAGTTTGATATTGCATACAATTCACACTATCAAGTAATGGAGTGCACTCCAGTCCCTGATTTCACACCAAAGTGGCATAATCTGAATGGAAAACTGTATCTTACGAGATAAATTCCACCAACTAAAGATTTTTTTTTTTTTTTTTACTAATGGGAAATGGGAAGGAGGGTGGAAGTGGCAAAGAGTGACGGGGAAGGAGGGAGAAAGGAAGAGGACAGTAAGGGGAACAGAATGAAATTAAGTTGAGGTAGTTTATTCTACCAGCCAAACATTACTGGGAGTGAACGTCTTCTAAAACTACCAGAGAACGGCTTTGGGAGCAGCCTGTTACAAAGACAAGATTCCAAACACACCTGCATTCGAAGATAAGTTTGTAATGTCTAAGCAGCAGTAAACAGGACTTCGTGTGCTTTCCGACAGGGTAGAAGAAGGTTTGACTCCTATGGACATCACCTGGACAGCTTTTTTTGTGTGTTTTTAGTGTTTCATTATTTTTAGTTGCAGCAGACCTCTGTCATTTGCCTGACTCTGAAGTCTCCTCTGTGCTAACAGCCTAGAGTTTGCTTTTCCAGGTGGAAAGAATGTTACACGCTCCCTCCCGAGCTCACAGCGCCCCCAGAACTCTCTCAGAATGCAGGGTCTTTTATAGCGAGCGATTCCTTTAAGCTCATACGGGGCTGCAGACTTGAGCTCTTTGGGCAACTGAATCTTCACTAAGACAGATTGTTGTCAGAGAGGAGTTTTATCTTAGTCTCAATTCATCAGAATATAGTTCTTAAAGAATCTTAAGACAGAGCACTAGGAATAAATGGGAACTAACTGGCACAAACCTCAGTTTACTGAGTGTGGCTAGGCATTATACCCTCCGCACCATACAAGGACAGCCTTGTGTGCGGGGTATGTTGGCTTGCATATATGGGCTCTGCTGTTTGTCTACCACAGCCACACACACTGGGACACAGTCAGTTGGGTAAGAGTTCCCTTCTGGGAATACGCACCTTAGGGCTTTAACTCTGATATTTCACATGACACCAATCCCCCACTCCCTCCTTTTGACACTCACTAGCCTCCACGGTTTACGGACGCATCGGGCTGGAGGAACTGATTCCTCCCGGGTAGTTTTTCAACAGTTACATGGTCTCCAAACAAGAGCAGAAGCCCAAGTTTCTAAGCATTAAAAAACCACCGAAGAGTAACCATACTGATGCCCAGCACACAGCAAGATGGAGCTGCTTCTCTGCGCTTGCTGACGACCAGCCACGTGATGCGCTTGGGGCAGGATCTCGCATTTGGCTCCTCTTCCTCTTCAAGGGGAATGGACCCGGATGCGGAACAAGCCTTGCTGCAGCTGCAGGCGGAAGAGCTTGCAGTTGGCTATGCGCAAAGCTGCGCAGCCTGTGCGCCGAAGGTCGGACGGCAGGAGTGGCTTCGTGTGGTGCCAGGTGCCCGTGCTTCTCTTAAACTCACGCACGTAGTCATAGTTGGTACCTAGACCCAGAGAGGGAGCAGAGCTGAGCTGGTGCACCCGAGCCCCTGGAAGCAGCTCCCGAGAAACCCCCGCAGTTTTCTCACCTGTGTCAAGGTCTCCGATAACATAAATACTGGCTCCTATGGGGACAGCGCCATACACAAAGGATGAACTGGCAGGAATGCATAGGTTCTGATCGTTAAGATAGATCCACCTGGAAGCAAGACCAACACACACAACTCAGGAAATCAAAAGAACAAATGGCATGTTTAGGAAGACAAATGGAGACAGTGCAACCTGGCAGGCCACCAGCATGCTGTGCACCACCACTCTTGACCCCCCACTCCACTTGCAAGAACCTTGGCTGTGGTTAGTGTCGGGAGAGACAACAAAGGCTCCGGCAGTGACTGCCAGAGTAGGACCGCCTCTGCCAAGCACCAGAGCTCCTGGACTTGTCCATGTGTGGCTCGCTCACTCACATACTTAAACTTTTAAGTGTGTGTGTATGTCTGTGTAGGTATGTGCATATGAGTGCAGTGCCCATGGAGGGCAGGGGACAAAGCCAACCCCCTGGAACTGCAGTTACAGGCAACTGTGAGCCCCTCTGATGTGGGTGCTGGGAACTGAACCCCAGCTCTTTCCAAGAGCAACAAGAGGTCTTCCCCACTGAGCATCTCTCCAGCCCAGGGATATGCGTGGTGTTAAGGTTCCAGCACACTTGCTAGCGCTCGTCTGATGCCTTCCGCCTTGGGCTGCTCTAACGACAGCCATCAGGGACATTAGGTGAGCCTGAGCCTTGTCTGGTTCTGGCTTTTGGTGGACTTCCAGAACGGCTGGATTCTGCGGAGAGGGCATGTGCCATGTGATGGGAAAATATCCCTCTTACTCAAAATACAATGCTGCTCTGTGTTTTAGTAGCGAGGCGTGGGAATCCCAGCTGTTCATGCTCACTGGGTCTTGGTGCCCTCAGTCCTTTGAAGACTGAGCCACTATAACAACAAGAATTCCCTTAAGTCTAACTGTGCTGGGGATTTTGGCACATGCTTACTGGGTACTTCTATGCACCTTCTTTTGCAAAAATTTGCTCATTTTAGAGAACACACACACAAATAAAAATAAGATAAGTCCTTAAAAAAAAGGCTTTCTAGGAAGAAAAACCTGACTAACCTTCAAGTGTCAAAGTCAGGAAAGACGGGCTATCAAAGGCTAAGGGGCAGCCAGGAAATAGCACCTGTTGGCAACTGCAATCCAGGTTGAGTTGAGGCAAGGGACATGTTGGCAGAGAGCAGGTGAGGTTGCAGGCAGTCTGTACTTTAGGCTAGCCCTGCATAGCTTTGACACTAGGATTCGGGTCAATGGGAACACTAGCATTAGAAGGCAAACGGATGGCTTATGGGAATACCCTGACTTTATGAGACTTTCCTAGAGGCCTAAAATGGCTGCAGGGGCTGGAGAGACGGCTCAGGGGTTTAGGGCATTTGTTGCTTTTACAGAGGATTCAGTTCAGTTTTCAGCACCCACATGGTGGCTCACAGCCATCTGAAATTCCATTTCTAGGGAATCTGATGCCCTCTGCTGACCTCCACAGGCACACACATGGTAGACATATAATACAGGCAAAACACTCATAAACAGAAATACATAGAAAAATCACTGCAAACAGATATGGCTCAGTTGGTAAAGGTGTTTGCTCCTCAGCCTGTTGCCTTAGTTTGATCCTTGGGATCCACACTGTAGAATCAGCTCCTGCAAAGGCTGCTCTCCGACCTTCACATGAGATAGATAAAATCTAGGCTTTGCCATGTAGGATCGTTCACTCAGGAAACCGTGGCCCATTTCCCACTAATAGCTTACAGGCCTGCCAAATCATAGCCACTGCCTAAGCAGCCTCGAGGCCTCACTGTCGAGGATGGCGCATGCAGCAGTGGACACTGTGGCCTCTCCACTCTGCACAGCAGCAGAAGAGCCTGTGGAGCAAGCAAGCGAATGCTGACATCACACCAACACAGGAACATTTCACTTCGACTTCAGTCAACTCCTGCCTGGCTGTTAGGAAACAGCCTCCTTATTTTGAATTCCAAGAAACAAGGAAACAAGATTATTTGCCCAAGATTATAAAATAAAGCTAAACCACCACCACCTTTCCCTGCCCCTCTCCTATCTCACCTTCCCTCTTCCTTTCCCTTTCTCTGAGACAGGGCCCCAGCTGGTCTCCAACATGCTAAGCTGCCAAGGACAACCTTCTGATTCTTCTGATCCTTCCACCTCATGAGTTCTGGATAACAGGCCGAGCTATGGGGCACAAAGGAAGGGCCCCAGGGCTCCATCATACTCTCTTCTGAGCCACATCCCCAGTCTATGATCAGTTGATTTGCTGGGGCTAACAATATGGACTTTGGCCTCACAAATGTTAAGCATGTACTCTACCTACTGAGCCAGCCCAATGGCTGCTGTTCTCAGAGTCCTTCTCATCCCTTATCATTGCTGGTCAATAATTATAGACATTATTGCACGTTCTCTGTTTAGGTTACAGTGTGGTTTCTGCCTCCAGGCTAGGCCATGACTGAAAGTGATGAGGTCAGGAGCAGGGTTCACGCAGGGCGGTGGGTCTCAGCACTTGGGAGGCAGAGACAGGCAGATCTCTGTGAGTTTGAGGCCAGGCTGGTCTACAGAGTGAGTTCAAGGACTGCCTCCATAGGTACTGGGAAGCCCTGTCTGGGAAAAACAAAAACAAAAAAAGAAACAAACAAAAGAGCAGGCTCACTCCCTACTCACTATCCCACACGTCTTACTACGGCAGATGAAGAGCTCCCTTCTTCCCAACCATTCAGTGCAAATACAATGCCATGCTCAGCAAGGACAGGCAGTGTGGTTTTCTGCAGAATGTCAGGATGACCAATTTTCATACATGGCTGAGTCAGCCCTGAGACCACACTGCGCAGGTTAACTGCTGGCCCTGCCTTCTAAGACCAAGACAGAGAAACTTCTCTGTTGATCCTTGCAAACAGGATGAAGAGGAAACATCAGCTAGCTCGCAGCTGCAGATCAAGGACGGAACGGGAAGACACAGCCTGCCCACGACACACCACATCTGGACAGCAATGGCGATCAGCCCAGTCACCTAGCAGAGCTGCACACACTTTCCTCCCCACTCTCCCTCCTAAGTTTGCAGTATGTATCCATGTTAGCTTGAACTAAAACTTCTCCTGTTTCAGCCTTTTGGGTACTAAGATTACAGTGTATTCCACCATGCCCAGCCCTTTCTTCTTTTTCTAAGTGAATTGAATAGAGGGATAGGTTTCACATGCTTGTATTTTTTTCTACCAGTTCCTCTTGGATACAGTGGGTTTCTTGTCTTTGGAGGGCAGAAGGAATCCAGGGATTGAGTTAGTCCTTCCTGCCACATGACTAAGGGTCATGTGCCCAAGGGTCACTAGCATCTGCTCAGGTGTCAAGCATCCCTGTTCTATTGTACACTCGAAGATGAAAGGATGGCACCGGCAACACAACTTCAGAGTTAACACAAGGACCATGTGTCAAGGCAGGAAACTCAGGCAGAGGTGAAAGGACAGGACTCGGGAAAGGAAGACGCCACAAGAGAGGCCTCAGCCTCAGGACACAGAGGACACTCAGCAGGGCACTCGGAGGACAGGACAGCAGTGTCTGCTTCCCCTTGCAGAAGCCTGGGAAGGGGAATGCATGCACACATTGCTCTGAGGGGAGGAAGAGTCCATGGCGGGGGCAGCAGGGGAGAAGGTGGGTGCCCAAGAGACCTCCTGTCAAGGTGAAAGGTAAAATGTGGCAGTGGCATGAGACTGAGAACTGGGAGGACCCTGTCAGCGTGTGGGCACAACTGGGAAGAGGGCACAGAGACAAATACCACAGGGACACAGGACCGTCCAGATAGAGAAGTCCCTGCTCTCTGGGTGTCATGTGTCATTACCATGACTCAGGAGTAACTTGCGGCCCTATTTATTTATTTATTTATTTATTTATTTATTTATTTAAATTCAGAAACCACAGAAAATAGTAAGATATGGTATTTTCCCAGGAAAGCTTTAACCTAAAAATAGGGAACAAAGACAGGAAAGACAAGAGACACCTTACAATTGGAATGGTCTCCGTGCTAACAGAGATCGCACATCTGGCATCAGCTCCCACGGCTGCGAGGAGAGCATACCCGGGAATGCTGCCCTGTGGCTGGGTGCTATTTTTCTGCCAGGATTTACGGGAACAGAGTTAGGCCAGTAGGGTGGGTGCATTGGAGAGCCCTGCAGTCAGAAGCCTGAGCTGCTCGGGTGCCAGTCTGCTGCACGCTCACCTCCATGTGCTCTGGGGTCGTCACATGTGACACGGGACAGGGCAGTGCCTGGGCCTCAGAGAGGAACAGAGGAGCCAGGCAGAGGCTGTGCAGCATCTGGTGTTGCTCACGCTCAGCGTTTCACAAATGTGCAAACGTCCTGCACGTCACTGACAAGATGTCTTAGCAGCTGCTTTCTGTTTATAAACTAACACTGGGGAGCCTGGGAACACAAGGCTGGAGATGTATGTATTTTATTTGAAATTCTTCCCCCCATGAGACACGGCTTCTCTGTGTAACAGCCCTGGCTGTCCTGGAACTCACTCTTTAGAACAGGCTGGCCTCAAACTCACAGAGACCTGCCTGCCTCTTCCTCCCAAGTGCTGGGGTTAAAGGCGTGCACTACCACGGCCTGGTGAAAAGAATATTTTAAGACGAAAGGTTGGTGGTTTGAAAGCAAATGGCCCCCAAAGGGGGTGGCACTACTAGGGGGTGTGGCTTTGTTGGAGTAGGTGTGGCCATGTTGGAGGACATGTGTCACTCTGGAGGCGGGCTTTGAGGTCTCATACATGCTCAAGCCACGCCCAGTGTCTCAGACACTTCCCACTGCCTGCAAGATATAGGACTCTCAGCTCCAGCAGCGTGTCCCACTATGATAACGGACTGAACCTCTGAACTATAAATGAGCCCCCTCGATTAAATGTTTTCTTTCTAAGAGCTGCTGTGGCCATGGTGTCTCTTCACAGCAACAGAACCCTAACTAAGACAAAGGGTTTTATTTATTTCTTGTGTAGATGTGGATGTATTCGTATGTGATAGTGCACTTGCACATATGTGTAGGTCAATGTCATGCTTGACTTTCATGTGGGTGCTGGGGACAGAATGAGATCCACATGCTTGAGCAGTGAGTGCTTTCCCAGCTGGTCCACTTCTCCCCCACCCCCTTTCTAAATACAGGCACGGGGCTGGGGAGGTGGACAGTGGTCAGAAGATCTGAGTTCACTTCCCAGCACCCACATCTGGTGCTCATAACTCCAGCTCCTGGGGATCTCACACCCTCTTTTGACCTTCCTGAGTGCAAGCATATGCATACACACACATATAAATAATAAAAAATAAATTTAAAGCCAGGTACGGAGGCAGAGGCAGACAGATCTCTGTGAGTTCAAGGCAAACCTGGATTATACAGAGTTCCAATTCAGTCAGGGCTACAGGGTGAGACTGTCAAGAAAGAAGATAAAAAAGAAAAAGGAAAAAAAAAAGGAAGGAAGAGAAGACAAATAGAAACAAGGAGTACTGCGTCTACTCGTAGGGCGGCGGTTTGGTACTGAGAGCAGGCAGTCAAGTTTACCAACAACAAAGATGCTGTGGGTGACTGGCAGGAATGTCAGGGTTCTAGAACGCAGCATGTCCCGGGACAGCCAGGAAGCTCTACAGCCAGATTTGGGTTCCACCCAAGGCAACAGACAAAATGAAGAAAGAACGTCAGCAAACGACTGCAGACAAGTCGCAGCTCACAGTGACTACGCACTGAGTCAGTCGTCATGAAGAGAGGTGTTTATCCAGAGCCAAACACGCTGCTACTGCCTGTTAATCAAGCGGGACAGACTGTCTCACACTCATCTGGGTGAGAGATTAATACACTATTTTCTACTGCGGCAGCCGGCCCCCACAGTAGCGTATCAAAGAAGAAATGTAGCAAGCCGCTGATATCCTCTACCCACCCTCACACAGCAAATACCGTCTAAACGGCTTCATTTTCTATCTAATAAATTCCCCTAACAGTCTACCCGACTAATGGGAAGCAAAAGCATCTCTACAAACATCCCGGAGGGAAAGCACATGGCGGACTGGGCGACATTTATATGCGTGTGGAACGCCTGGTATCGGCTCATTCTTCACCCAATCTCAAAGGCAGGAAATGAGATAACATCTATCTTATGGCTCCCCTCTCTGGTAACATGAACATGACCAAAGCACGTAAGATCAGCCATGACCTTCTGTGGGGATCTGAACGGGTCACTGCAGTGAGAACACTGCCTCATGCTTATGAGGGGAAAGTATGTGAGACGAGGGGACAGCACCTACCACAGAAGCACGCCATGGCCTGTTAGGCATTTTAAGAAATGTTTTTCTTAAGCTGGACATGGTGGCACACGTCTTTAGTCCCAGCACTTGGGAGGCAGAGGCAGGTGGATCAGGATGTGAGCTCTCAGCTGTTGCTACTGTCACGCCCTTTTCCCCCAATCATGAATGCTAGCCCTCTGAAACTGTAAGCCCAATTAAATGTATACTTTTATAAGCTGCCTTGGTCATCATGTCTTATCACTGCAACAGAGAAGCAACTAAGGCACTCATCAACTTCTGAAGTCACTGAAAAATATCTAGTATGTACTGAACATACTCCTTAAACAGAGAATTCAGAAAAGTCACTAGAAATCAAAGCTGAGACACATCTCGAAAGCACCCAGGGCCTCGAGACTGTCCAATTCTCAGAGCGAGAGAACCTGGGCAATTGGATTATGGGATAATAGCTTTGTACTTGTGAGTTATTGTTTTTAGACAAATATATTGGTATTGATTCTTATATATTGATACAAAGTTAAATTATGTTGACTATTTTATGCATGCATGCTTCTACCTCTGTTTAAAACATTTTTATGTATTGACATATATATATATATATTGTATTGATATATGTATATTTTACCATATTGCATTGTACACTCCTACCTCTTATTAAGATACTTATATATTGTTTATGTATTGATATATATTTACCATATTGCAATGTATACTTGCACATTGTTTATATTTGGAGGTCACATTGTCCTCATTTATTGCACAGTTGTTTATTATCTCAGTCTTTAAGTTAAATAGATATTGAGAATTATATAGAACAATAGTCATCTAAATTTGACATTTATAATTAGACTAATCAGGTTCTTTAGATATACAGAGATTATATTCAGTATAGATAGATAATCTCCAACCTCTTCAAAGAGCTGTAGAAAATGGCCTTTAATCTAACTCAGAGTTCTGTGGTAGTGAGACACAAATACTCCTGGCAACACTGACCTATTCCCGAGAGAATGTTGAGCACCAAAGACACTCCACCTGGAGCCTTTCTTCTTGGCAGAACTGGCCTTTGGGTAAAGAAATGCCCATATCTCAACTACTGACAGAGTTTCAGAATATCCGTAAATGGATAAAACAGGACTGTCATATCCTGCCAAGACAGGGTAAGATAGTTTTGAAAAGTTCCTTGCCTTTGAAAATGGTATGTCAGTTACGTTAGGCCTTAGCCAAAGTTGGTTGCTTCAACGCTGCAAACGTGACTTTGGGTGTTTGCCCAGGTAGCCAGTTGTCTCTGTGATTTGTTACATGTTCTGGAAGTTTGATTGCACTTCCTAATTACTCAGGTAACATTATTTCCCTTCTCAGATCTTTGATGGGATTGAAGATTATATAAACGTAGTTACTTTCCTTTCATGACTTGGCCAAGTTATTTATTATACAAGACTTTAGCTAGTTAGAATAGGATATTTGTACTTATTGTATATAATTGTGTAGGTTTGTACTTACTGTATATAATTTCGTAGTAGGCTTAGAACTCTCTTACTTAAACAAAAGGGGGAGGTGTTGTGGGAGTATCTTCTGCTGCCTCAGCCAATAGTCGCTGAAGCATGAGCCCACAGTGCGCCGGGGAGCGCCTTCCGCTCTGTCACCCACCGGGGCATGGTATATTTCTCTTTTAAAAAGAGACACAGATCCTGGATCAGGCTCTCTTGGTTCTGGCGCTTGGTCCCGGCTCCTGCTCCCGGCTCCTGCTCCAGCGACTAGGCTCCCTTCCTAACGGTTTATGGTGTATGTAAGTTTGACCCCCCAAAATAAATAACCCCTTAAAACATAACTGGTGTGGGATTGATTTGCCGATAATACTCCTGCGCAGACCACGGAAGAGGCAGCATGTAACTTGCCCAGCTGAGAAAGGTACGGAGCCATTATGGCTAACATAGATGAGAATAATGGGTTAATATAAGTTATAAGAGTTAACAAGAAGACTGACCTAATGGGCCAATCAGTTTATAACCTAATGTAGACTCCGTGTTATTTTCTTTGGGAATTGCCAGTTGTGGGGTACCGGGTGGGACAGAAACCCCAACAAGCCGGCCCTCGTGTTACACTGGGCAGAAGCCTCAACACCGCTTACCTCTTAAACTCGTCGTGATAGAACTCAGACTTGCAGGTGACCATCTCACTGCCCTGGATGTCCTCTCGGCTTCTGACGCCTCCGAATACATACAGCTCCATAGCAACGCCGCAGGCCACTGCTCCAAACCTGTAGGGCCACAGACACAGGTGCGGGCTCCGAGCTCAGGACCTCAGCCCTGAGTCCGCTGCTGCTCGTTCTTCCGTCTGCTGGTCTTTGAGACAGGGTCCCATTATGTACTCAGGGGAGGCTGGAGCTCATTGTGTAAACCATACCAGCCTTGAACTCACAGTAATCCTCTTGCCTCAGCAGTCTCCCAAGTGCTGTGTTGACAGGCAGATGCCACCATGCACAACCCAATTGCTTTTGCCTTCATGTGTTTAGGCGTGTGTGTGTGTGTGTGTGTGTGTGTGTGTGTGTCTGTCTGTCTGCATGTGGAGGCCCTAAGGCTGACATCAGTAGTGATTTCTGGATTCCCTATTCGTTAAGGCAAAATCTCTCAACTGAACCCAGAGTTTGCTAACTTGGGTTAGCTGGGCTTGTCTAGCAAGCCAGCTTTCTTAGGAACGCTTGCCTCTGCCTGTCCAGTGCCGGGACTGCCTGCCTGGCACTTCCTCAGGTACTGGGGATCTGAACCCTGGTCCTGACGCTGCGCAGCACACCACACCCTCTAGCACTAAGCTACCTTCCCAGTCTCTAGTGCTTGTTCTAACTGCACATGGGCCTTCTGTTTTAAGAGATGCCGTACTCTGAGGCCTCAGCTACATCAACAGTGGCACACTGCTGGGCACACACACTCTGCCTCACCTCCTCTCTTTCAGCGGACATATGGCAGTCCACTGCTGGGTCCGTGGATCGTAACACTCCACAGACTCAAACAGTTTTCCATATGATCCTCCACCCATGGCATAGATTTTCTTTTTCATAGCTGCATAACAGCCAATCTGAAAGGAAAAAAAAAAAAACAACAACAATGGCAGGGAGAGGTATCATTTGTCACCGGAACTGGATGAGCAGACAGCAACTGACGCAGAGAACACGGTCTCATACGCAGGACAAGCGCTGACTCCTAATAGCAAAACAATGACACCTCCTCGCATGACCCCACAGGGCTTTGGAGGTGGAGACACATACTGGAAATCCCCAGAGAAGGAGTCTTCATCCATCTTCAGAAAAGAAGCAGCAACTAGCAGTAACTATACTTTACTTTTTGTGGGGTCATGCCGGGCCGGTGTTCTGCCACTAAACTGGACCCCAGCCCCTAATCTTATAAAATATATATATATTTTTTGCCCTGGCTCTCTTCTTCCACCGTGTGGATTCTGGCACTTGAACCCTGGCCATCAAACTTGGCAGCAAGCACCTTTACCCACCGAGCCATCCTGATGTCCCCGTAATCTAACTTTTCACAGGAGCTTTGAAAACCGGTGTGCACAAGCCACAAGTTCCATCCGTGCCACACTGGCTGAGATGGGCGCAGGAGGGCTTTCCAGCATCCGTCTCCTTTCACCAGTATTCGAGTCCCCCAGAGTTAAGATTCTTGGAACAATAAGCTGCTCAATCACTTCACAATGGTCTCACTGGTCGGGTACACAGTAAGAGAAGACAGGATATCCATGACCCGAACCAGAATCGCAGTCAGACGGCTTGATGGACAGCTCTGCCTGGGACCCGAGTCTCAGTGAGGGAGGCTCACGGGAGGAAGCCGCTGCAGTTTTTTACTTGTAGAGGGCAGGAGGAATGAGAGGTCAGGCTATCCACACGGTATTTTCTACAGACCCTGCAAGCCAACACTGCTGCTCGGAGGCAGACTAACACTTGCTCGGGCGCTTTCCACTCGGGACATGTAACCTGCTGACATGAAGGCAAGCTGCCAGCAGAGATCTGTCTAGAATTCTCCAGCCTTGATCCTCTCGGCATTGTTCAAAGGCATGCTTAAGAACGAAGATGTGTGCTGGGGACTTTGCGGAGCAGAAGAGCACTCTGTGAGTCCCTGGGTATGAGCCTCCCCAGGAAGAGACACTGACTTTGAAGTCAGCTTGCAAAGACGCCAGCTCCCGCAGCCCGCTGCACTCACCTTTCTAACCATGGTCAAGTCAGGCTGCTTTGTCCAGGTTTTTGAATAAATATCATAACACTCCATGGAAATCAACTCCCGGTCACCATCCTCCCCTCCAAGGATGTACAGCATCCCATCTATCTCCACGATCCCAAAGTTGTGTCTTGCCTGGAAAAATATCACAAACCTTTGTAGGAGAAAGTGGATGTTGAACATTTGCTAAATGTCACAGGCACTGTCCTATTCCAGCATCCCAGCAGGGAAGAACCTTCTATACTTTCTCCTTGGAACTATTATGTGTGGCTTCCTCAGCACAACAGAGAGAGCCAGTCACTCCTTAGGACCAGGGACCAAAGATGCAGGGCTCAGAGATTCTGTGCTTAACCCACAGAAGTCAGAGGAACGCCTGCCTCCCAGGCTAACTGAATCCGGGGCATTGATTATCAGCACTTATGGGCAGGCAGGTTTCCGAGGAGACTGTGACAGATGACAAAAGCCAGGTACTGTGGACTATCAGTGGCCAGGACTGGCCCTAGAGGGGAACAGGGCATGCCAGAGTCTCAGGAACTACAGAAGCCAGAGGTGCTTATGATTCGCCCTCAGCCCAAACAGAACATAACGACTTCCTGGCTTGTGGAGTCTCCGTAGGAACACGAGAAACCAGCGTGTGCAGAGGTGGGGAACAAGAGAGGAAGGAGACTGGGGCAAGCAATGGGGGGAGGTGCTAGGCAGCAGGCCACGAGGAGGCGGGGGCGGGGGAGGAAAAGGCAGGAGAGGCAATGGGGGAAAGCAGGGCTCCAGGCAGGGGGAAGCCAGGCTGCTGTCTCTTTCCGTACACTAGACCCCACACTGATAAAATGCCACGGAGAAAAGAAACACCTTGGAGACAAACCGCACCGTACCTCATTCATGGGCGGGAGAGCAGTCCACGTGTTGGCGTCTGGGTCGTACTTCTCTCCCGAGCTCAGTGTCTGCTTATTTTCATCTTGGCCCCCCAACACAAACAAAAATCCTTCTGAAGAAAGCACAGGGGACACATAGGACACCTTCAGCAAATGCTATGGTGCATTTAGAGCTTCCCCTCCCAACCCCTGACAGTCTTCTTCTTCTTCCCTGGTGACAGATCCAAACTAATTAGTCACTCTGGCCATTCTACTATACTCAATACTGTCTTTGTTTATGTTTTTCAGCACAGGGTTTCTCTGTGTATCTCTGGCTGTCCTGGAACTCGCTCTGTAGACCAGGCTGGCCTCGAACTCACAGAGATCTGTCTGCCTCTGCCTCCCAGGTGCTGGGATTAAAGGCATGCGCCACCACTGCCCGGCTCAACTTTCTTTTTTTAAAATTACATTTGACACTTTTTTTCCCATCTCCCAAAATGGTAGCTTCTCCTCTCTTCTCCTCCCCCTTCTTCTCTGTTTCTCTTTCTCTCTCCGTCTGTCTCTCCTCTTCCCCCCTTCCCTTTCCCTCCATAACCCACTGAATAAACTATACCCAAACCCTCAAAAAAAAAAAAACCACATTTGACATTGAACACACTCTCTCTCATGAGTGCAGCTCTCAGCCTCATCAAAGAGGCTGTTGTACTACAGCAGTGAGTACCACTGGCCAGACTGCAGGAAGTAAATGACCACGGGGTGCCCGACCCTAACTGGGACATCACAACACAAGCGCTGCATCTAAGGCTCAGGGGACACCATGGAAGAGAGGGTGGGGACAGATGGGCCAGGACATCTGCTGCGAGACAGTGTCTTCTAGACAGGAAGGGAAGCTGCACCAGCGAACTCTCAACAGCTGGGTCGCCTGCACAAGACCACAACCGTCCACAGCCAACACAGCAGGGGAAAAATCTCATAAGGCTCCACGTGCTTCTAAAGGAAGCTCTAGAGGCAGCTAGATAGGTTTCCCAATCCTAAGTGGTCAACCCTAGACACACATACATACAGACAACACTGACTCAGGAGATTACACACATGTATATATGTGTGTGTGTATGTACATATATATACATATATATATATATATATATTTTACAAAAGGCCATTAATTTGAGATGGGGTCATGGTGGAACACAGAAGAGTTGGAGTGAGCAGAGGAAAGGATAGGAATGGTATAAATATAATGTACTCATAAATGGTATTCTCTAAAAATTAAAATTAAAACAGTTTCAAGTGCGTGTGTGTATGTGTGTATGTATGTGCACATGCCACAAACCACAGAACATGAAGGTCAGAGAACAACTTGCAGGAGTTGTTTCTTTCCTTCCACTGTGTGAGCCCCAGGGATTGAACTCAGGTCCTCAGTGGCGGCAAGTGCCTTTCCCCACCTTGTCCAGCTTGACTGATTTAAACCTCCTGCTTGTCTAAAAAGTTTCAAGCTTGAACTCAATTTTGGAAACACAGTATTTTCCTGTGACTATCAGAAACAAATGTCAAACCTCTACTGAAGAAAGAGGGCACTCTCATGCAAGCCCAGACTACCTGACATGTTGCAAGGCTCTCAGGCACATCAGGAAACATGGTCCCCCGGAGTGAGAGCAGACGCAGGCACTGGCAATGGGGTTGCCAAGACTCGAAGTACTGATAACTAGAGAAGGCAGAGCAGCAACCCTTGCCACAACCCCGGAAGACACATAAGTACTAAACGAATGAACACCGAACAAAGATTCACAGACAAACAGAATCAGAAAAGCCCCATGGATGGACCAATAGAGTCTCAAAGCTGAAAAGTCACAGAAGATAAATCAAAAGCCACCATTAACCCAGCAACAGAGAGACAAAAGTCAGCAGCCGACAGGAGCAAGAAGAGGATGGGGGAGAAAGGTCTGACATGCTTGGCAGGACTCCTAAGAGCAGAGGCAACACAGGCAGGACAAATGGATGAAGACGAAAAGGGCAGACAAAATGGCTTAGCAGGAAAAAGAGCTTGCTGCAAAGGCTGATAACCTGGGTTTGATCCCTGGAACTCATGTCACCACACCAGGTGGTGATGGAGCCCAAACCTGACCACACTACTGTAGAGCCACACCCCCTATCTTTTTTTTTTTTTTTTGAGACAGTATGCAACTATATATCCCTACTGACCTAAATTTGTTAGGTAGACCTGGCTGGTCTTAGACTCAGAGATCCTCCTGCCTCTGTCTCCCAAGTTCTGGGATTAAAGGTGTGTGGCACCACCCTGGGCAAAATTGCATCTGCGTATCTGCATAAGCCTGAACCAACATACTCCTTGGTCAGGGCTCTGCTAGAGCTAAGTGGAGCATACCTGCTGAGAGAACGCCATGGTTAATTCTGGGCATGCTCAGAGGGGCCAGTTCGATCCACAGCTGCCGATTAGGGTCGTAGAGAGGGCACATACATCGCATGGCGGCCGTGGGTTTCCGTGAACTAAGGAAATACACAGTTGATGTTTTACACTTCTGTTCACAGTTGAACCCACTGTCAATGTCAGTGGTCTACAGACGGTTAACCACCTCAGAAAGCCAATTACTGTTATTGTATATTACCAGAATATTACCCTGCATTTTTTTTTTGTGTAGTAACTCCCCCTCCCCCCATACCCCTCTCCCAAGGTCCCTGCCACACTCACACTCTTTCCTCCCCTCCAATGGTCACTATGCACTCTGAGTAGCCCCTCGGCTTGAAGCTGGCCAGCATGGCCTCCCCCTGCTGCGGCTGGCTGAGCGGGATGTTGCTGCACTCTTTGACGATTTCTCGTACCAGGGGCTCATTCAGCATCTGCTCCCGCAGGTAGCTGGAGTCCAGCCCTGAGACCCACAGTGCTGACATGACATCCTTCATGTGGACCTGCAGAGGGAGGAGGAGGAACAACAGGAGAGGGATGACACGGGTATCCGAGGCACACCTCCTGACTCTCAGCAGAGGGCGGCTGCTAACAGTCTATTGGCAGACACCGTCACTCCTTGCAGAGCCTGAATATGCATACCAGCTCGCTCTTTTTCTATTCTTAAAAAAAAAAGATTTAATTTTTATTATTTTACGTGTATGAGTGCTTTGCCTGCATGTATGTCTGTGCACTACACACAGGCTGGCGCTCACAGAGGTGGTGAGCCTCCATGTGGGGCTGGGAATCAAAGCTGGGTGCTTTGCAAACGCAAGTGCTCTTAACCACTGAGCCAGCTCTCCAGTCCTGAAGATTTTATTTTTATTTGTGTGTGTGTTCCTGTGGGTTAGAAGAGGACACCCAGTTCTCTGGAGTTAAAGTTACTGGCTGCTGTGAGTTGTTCAATGTGGGTGCCAGGAACTCAAGATGGGTCTCCCTCTGCAAAAGCAGCAAATATTCATAATTGCTGAACCATTTCTCCAGCTCCCCCCTTTAAATAAAGCTTTATTTTATTTTATTTTTAATTATGTGTGTCGTATAGGTGCCTACAGAACACAGAGGCCACCAGGGTCACTGGAGCTGGAGTTAGTGTGGTTGTGAACCACCGGATAGACGTGTGTCCTGAGGACCCAACGCTGGTCCTCTGCGAGAGCAGCATTCATTCCTAACTGCTCAGCCATTTCTCTGGCCACCCCCACCCCTTTTCTTTCTTTTGAGACAGTGACTTGCTATGCATTCTAGGCTGGCCTCAAGCCCACCATCCTCCTGCCTCAAGACTCCAAGTCCTGGGATTACAGGTGTGGGCCACTCTGCTCCCCTCTCTTTTTTGATTTTTCTTGCTGCCCCAAGTCTCTGGGAATAAAGGTTTAATACTATAGCAACAACAACAACAACAACAACAACAAAAATCAAATTCATTTGTATTTGTTTTGCAAAGTTCCAAAAAGTTTCCACACACTGAAGTGCCCCATGTCAGTGGGTTCCTGAGTGAAAGCGGCCACACTGCTTTATCTCACCGTCTGGACGGTGACTAAGCCGCTCACGAAAACACTGGAATGATAACAGCTACTGCACGGTAAACATTGATATTGGAAGAAAATCAGCAAAGCCAAAGGTAAAAAAAATCCCCAGAACTGTATAATAATTCAAGCAATGATCATGGCTCAAAACTACCTGACAGCTTTGGGTATTTTTGGGTCTCTGACACTTGGGCATGCTCTGGGTGATTTTGGCCATAGACTTGATCCAGGACCACCTCTGTGGTTAAGGGGACACTCTTGAGTAACTTAAAACATACTTTCCCATGCTCTGAGAGGTCAGATTAGTCAAAGCGCAGAGAACTGCCCTGCTTCCAGGTAACTTGCCACCCTGAGCACCTTGAGCAAGAGGAGGACCCAGCACAAGTCAAGGAGGATCAGTGCCTCCTAGTGGCCTCTGTGAGTATCTCCTTTCCTCAAGTACCTAGCATGGAGCAGAATGCCAGGTGTCTACTTGCAGCTAAGACCTCAAGTGTGGTTGTACACCCTCACAGGCTTACAAAATTTAAAAACTACAAGATAATCCCTGTTTAACTTTAATTCTAATTTCTTTCTTTTTCTTTTTTTAAAATTAAATTTATTTTACATACCAACCAAAGTTTTCCCTCTTCCCTCTCTTCCCACTCTGGCCCCCTCTGCCACCCCCCTAGAAAACTCCAGCTTAAACTACATTTCACCACTAAAAGCAATGTACAATGGAGAGTACAGCTTTAGAGGTGCCTAGCATATTGTGAAGTATATGGACCCCTCTCTCAGGCTGTCTTTGGGGGCCAATGTGATGACCCAAGTCTCCTCGGGGATGCTAGGTTAAATAATGTGAAAGCATTACACTGCTTATGTTTCGTTTTGTCCTGTTTTCCGAGACAGGGTTTCACTGTGTAGCCTTGTTTGGCCTGAACTCGCATGGAGACCAGACTGGCCTTGAACGCAGAGGTAATGTCCATCTCTGTCTCCAAAGGGCTGGAATTAAAGTATCTGCCCATATCCAGCTAAGCATCCCTTTGTTTTTATTTTTCCTCCTAATCAGCTCTGGGGTCATCTGACTCTAGTTGACAACTGTTAGTCCCTTACCTGGCACCCTAGCTGTCTGGAGTAGAGACCGTCAGCTAAGCAGCCAGTTAGGCCTCCTTCTGCCCTGCTTTAAACATTCTACAGATGCCTCTGGGAGGCAACATAGCTGCCTGCTGCTGAAGAGAGGGCGCTGCATGGCCACCTCAGCTGCCTGCTGCTGAAGCGCAAGTCTGCCTCCAGCAATCTCTGTCTCGGCCACAGCATTTCAGACAGCCTGCACTGGACCTTTTGTCCATCACAAGCCTCACTAACCCCCAGCAGCCACTTTCACTCAGGCCAGAGGGGGAGCACTTCCCAGTGGCCAGCCTGAGGGTAGTGGGAACAGTCCTTCACTGGTATGAAGGTCTACCGTGAGTAGCACAGATACAGTCACCTCCTCACAGGCAACCCTCAAGGACGGCTGTAATTATTCCAAACACCGCTGCTATACTCCCTTCCTGGGTACACAGGCAAACTCTGAATGCTAGTTGGGCGCTGCCCTCCTGTGCTGTCCCCTCGTGTTATTACCCCCCCCCCCCCCCCCGCACACACACACACGCGCACACAGGTTATCCTTCCGCGGCCCTTCATTCCCGCCTTTGATCTTAACTGTTAGCCTAGGATGAACTGTGGCACAGAGAGGAGAGACTGGAAGAAAACAAAGTGGGGACAGCAGTGCAGAGACAGCAGCAGCAAGACAGCTGAAGGGGCATGACGCGACCAGGACTGGGGTGCAGGGGATAACAAGGTCTGTAAAGAGCTAAGAAAGAGAAACTATTAGCCAAGTTACTGGAAGAGTTCCAGAGAAGGGCTAAGATGTAAAATCTGAGAGTCTCAGAGGAACTGAGGGTCAACACCTGAGGCCCTCAGAAGCTGTAGCAGCTATAGGAAGGAACCCTGCTGCCCACTGCTGCTAGAAACCTAGGATGTTAAAAGCTGTCCAGTGCCAGGACCACTGGTAATCAAAGCCCAAAGCAGTAAGCTTCCAACCCGAGCATCTCCAGCCTCCAGTGAGAGTCTGCCTGAACAGCCTGGACAAACAGGATCCTGGCTCTCAGCGCTGGGAGTGTGAGCCTCTGGGTCTGCCCAGTACCTTGGCCTTGGGCACTTGAGGACCTGGGACTGCCAGCTATGGAGTATTTTTCCTTGCCATCTGGGAAAAGCCAAGGATCGCAGCCAGATGCCTGCAGATGGCCCGAGAGACTGACAGCTTCAGCAATAGATAGAAGATGCGTCCCAGATATCCTTTCGTCCAGCTTGGTTGAGTCTTTCAAGATGGAGAAGACAAAACTACTACAATTTGTTAACAATAAACAAAGGGCTTGCCCTCCAATTGTGTTACCTGAGCCTGATCTCCAGACCCACGTCAAATGCTGGGCACGGGGATGTGAGCCATGGCTGACCCAGGGCTGGGCAGGCAGAGGCAGGAGGACGAACTCTGGGGCTTGCTGGCTAGTCAGTCCATCCTAATGGATGAGTTCCAGGTTAATGAGAGACCCTCACAGAGCTGGATAGTGTTCCTACAGGACACCACCAATGCTGGCCTCTGTTGTCACATGGATCCCTCCCATCACACAAAGCAAATAAACACATTAATGCAAAGGGGCCCCGCGGCCATGTCCTGGGTGGCCGGTACCTTTCTCATCTCTGTGTCATGTGCTATCCACCGAATCACCGCCTCAAACACGTATTTTTCATTGCCAACATTCAGCTTCTCCAGAGAGATCACTTCTTTGAGCTTCTGCGGACTCAGCTCCAGGAACTCCTCCGTGTTGCTGACGTCGCGGAAGTGAGTCTCCAGGTACTCCGTGGCCAGGTAGTGCACATGGTGCAGGCAGTAGTGCAGCGCGAAGTCGCGGATGCCGATGCAGTTCTCCGCGGCAATGCAGCCCTCCAAAAACTCACAGCACAAGGTTTTAAGGTCCGTCAGCAGCAGCAGGTCGGCTGCCTGTACAACATCTTGGATTGTATCTTCATTTAGCCTGATCTGTAAGAGGACCATAAAGATTTTACATCTGAATGCAGACATAAAACCCAAACCACCAACTCAGTTCTGGTTCACAGGAATTTCCCAATTTTTCTCTTATCTTTAAAGGTTTATTTTTAATTATGTGTATGTGCAGGCGAGTGTGGATCCCACTGGAGCTGGAGTTACAGGCAGTTGTGAGATGCCAACATAGGTGCCAGGAACTGAACTTAGGTCCTCTGCACGAGTAGGAAACGCTCTTAACTACGCCATTTCTCCTGCCCTCAGATTCCCACTGTTGTATGTATACTGCACATCTTTCAAGAGTCTGAGGCATCAAAGGGCCTTCTCTCACAGCACATGCGTGTGACTTTTAGCCTGTTCCCCTGCCCACGTTTTCCCCTCCTGTGCCAGCATGATCTACCCTCCTCCTGTTGAGGGAGTTCATATTTGCAACTCACATAAAAACTTGACTGAGCATTTAGGAACAGTACTGCTATTAATGGAAATTGGAGTTATCTACAGATACATCAAGGTTTCTGTCGGCCAAGTGGGTGCGAGCCTCAAAGTGGGGGACTTTGTATCTCTTCGGCAGCCTGTCCTCAACACCAAAGCACATGGCCCTCAAACTACCATCTAGAATAAGTCCCCACTGTACCGGTTACCCTCCCTGAGTCTTTAGTTTTCTCCAGTGTCCTGACTGATGCTTCTCTCCCTGTCTCACGCTTCCCCAGGCAACCATAAAATGCCATACCACAACTAAGCTCCCCTAGGCTTTGCTGCTTCAGAAATGAGAGAGTTCAGGGTCCAGCAAGAAACCTTTAACCACATCCTATGCATTTTCATAACTACAGATTTAAAAATGTGTTTTTACCAATTGCCTCAGAAACTAAGCACAACTGTAGGAAGTAATATCTAAGTGAGGAAAATCTCCCATGCTGGGGGCATCACTAACCTTCTCTTCTTCATCTTTGTTGTTGTTGTTGTTTTGGTTTTGTTTGTGCGTGTGCTGGCTAGTTTTAAGCCAATGTGACACAAGCCAGAGTCATCAGAGACGAGGGAACCTAAATGAGGAAATGCTTTCATAGGATCAGGCTACAGACAAGCCTGTAGGGCTTTTTCTTAACTAGTGATTAATGTAGGAGGTGGGCTTCCCCTGGGTTGGTGGTCCTGGGTTCTATAAGAAAGCAGGCTGAGCAAGCCATAGAGAGGAAGCTAGCAAACAGCACCTCTCTATGGCCTCTGCATCAGCTCCGGTCTCCAGGCCCCTGCCCTGTTTCAGTTCCTGCCCTGACTTCCTTCAGTGATGGGCTGTGATGTGGCAGTGTAAGGTGAATAAGCCCTGTCCTCCCTGCTGCTTTGGTCCTGGCATTCATCACAGCGGTAGCAACCCTGACTAAGACAGTGAGAGTGTCTTAGATCTCTGTGTGGGGGCATGCGAGCCAGGACACCCGCGGAGGTCAGAGGACCTTTCAAGAACGGATGGTCTCTTTTTACCATGCAGGTCCTTCAGAATGAACTAGGTGATGGTGATCAGGTTTGGCAGCAGAGCTTTTACTCACCGAGACATCTCTCCAACCCTCCTCCCATCTCTATTTTTTTTTTTTTTGCACTGCTTGGGATGGGACCCAGGGCCTCATGCATTCCAGGCAAGAGCTCTACCACTCAGCCACATCCCCAGCCCCAAGAATATTAAATTCAGCCAGAAGACAGGGAACAACCTCAGATACAAACCCATGAAGAAACACATCTCAGTTAAACCAAACAGCTAATTTAGAAGTTTGTCATAGTTTAAGTTGCCACCTGGATCCTAAGGTTTAAACTGGGACAAATGCTGGCAGCCAACCTACAGACAGCCCCAGAGGGCAGCCGAAGCCTGCAGCCTGCACAGAGCATGCCCTCCATGGCCCGGCACCTGCTGTGCTCATAACTGTAAATCAGCTGGCTGGGCAGATGCCTGAGTCCCCACCGCTGCAGAGTGCTTCCCGGATCTTAGCTTCATTCATTTCCATCTTCACACACATGCGCACCCACTGCCTTCTGTTTAGGAAGAGTTTCTCTGAACTGTATTTCCCCAATGCTACAAAATCACACCACACGCTTCTAGTCGGGGACTAGAATCCCTGACTCTGTGGGCAGAACAAACACATTTAGAAAAGACATTCAGAATGCTCAGAAAACTACTGGGAAAAACCGACCCTCCAGAAAAGGGGAAGTGGGGAAACAGCAGTGCCGGAGCAGGGGTCATGGGGAGGGCAAGACATAAGACCTTGAAAAATGGGGAAGCACACTTTCACACACCGAAATGGACAACACACTACCCTGGCCAAAATACCAAGGAATCTCCTTTTCTGTTTCTTTGTTTTGTTTTGGAGACAGGGTTTCTCTGTAGCTTTGGGGCCTGTCCTGGAACTCGCACTGTAGACCAGGCTGGCCTCGAACTCAGAGATACGACTGCCTCTGTCTCCCGAGTGCTGGGATTAAAAGTGTGCTTTTTTTTTTTTTTTGGATTTATCCTTATTTACTTATTTGTGTGTGTGAGTGGGGATGTATGTGTGTTTGTACACGGAGGCCAGAAGATCTCCTGGACCTGGAGCTCCAGGTGGCTGTGAATCATCTGCTGCAGGTGCTGGGACTGGAAGAGCCGTGAGCTCCGAGGTTTCTCTGTAGCCCTGCTAAGCGCTGGAAGAGGTCTATGCTAGAACTTAAGTTACAGAAAGAGGGCGGGGTCAGGAAAGCAAGAAGAAAGCAGTCTAGGCGCTGACCATTCCTGGCCTATGTTTTATCACGTCTCCGAAGCCAGGTGACACAGAGTAGAGGGAACGCAGGGAGCAGGGCCGGGGTGGGGTGAGTGCAGCCACCAGCGAAGACCACAAGGGTGGCTTTCACTGGGAGGCGCCTTTCATGGCAGTGACCCACAGGAAACTCTGTTTCTACAGAATAAGCCCCAGTGCCCAGAGAAGCCCCTGTTTCCGTGTAGACAGAGAAGGTCCTGACAGGGTGGATGTTATGCAAGATCAAACTCAAGATGTGGTGGCAAGAGTCAGCAGTGAAGGGTACACATGTTCTTAGAATCTCTGCCTGGAGGGTGGGACTCAGAAGAGCATAAACTGGGGCCTGGTCTATGACCTAACTATTGCTCTTTCAGGATCAGAGTCTGGAAGAACACGTATTTGGGGCCATCGCCAGCAAGATGCCAACAGATGCCCCTGATGGCAGAAGATGATGTGCAAGTACCACTCTGAAAGCTGGGAAGCCTCTGCTGGGCCTGGACCCTGGGTCCCACCATACCTGCCCACTGAAGATGTAATCCAGGATCTCTCTCATAACCATTACCGATATCCCTTCAAGTTCAATCTTGTAAGTGGAGCCGTCATCTTTGGGAGGATTATAGTTTAACTTTGTCCTAAGAAAGGGAAAACAACGTAAAATTCCTATGAACCAACAGAAACAGCTCGAAATGTTTATGCACTAAACACTACACCATAACATGGACTGAGCAGCAAGAATACCTCCACTTAAGGAGTTTAGCTTCAGATCAATATACATAGCTTTAGCTAAAAAACATTGGCCCGAGTATGCGCAGGTTACTTAATCTGTTCAGGGGTTTACTTTTAATTATGTGCATGTGTGTCCACACGAGTACAGACACTCACGGAGGCCAGAGGCATGGGGCTCATCCTGGAGTTACGGGTAGTTCTGAGACAACTGATGTGGGTGCCAGAAACTGAGGTCTTCTGCAAGAGCAGAGAGCCAGCGATACACAATGAGACCCCATCTTTAATTAAAAAAAAGAAGGTGCGATGGCTCTGTGGTTAGGAGCACTGGCTGCCCTTCCAGAGCACCCAGGCTTGATTCCCAGCATCCACGTGGCGGCTCAGAACGATCCGTAACTCCAGTCCCAGGTGAGTGAACTCCCTTCTGGTCTCGGTGGGTACTGCATGCATGTGACATACAGACATACATCCAGGAAAACACGTATTTACATAAAAGTACATCAAATCGCAAAAAAAAAAGACAGAAAAAGTTAGAAAAGAAAGAGAGCTACATTAAGAAAATTAGAAGATTAACCCAGAAGGTTGAACATTTAAGAAAAGGTCTATCTCCAAGTCAAAGAAAATAATACCTAGTAAGTACTCATGAGTAGAGAAAGACAGACCAATCCAAGCTGTATCGGCATGCTGCCTAAGGATGCTGGAAACAGGAATGGAGTCCTTGAAGCTCTCAGAAAGAAGACAGAACACAAAGGAAGGAGTGAAGATCAGAGTGCTTCCTACTTCACAAATAGGAAGATGTAATATCAGGGAGAAAGCTTCAAGATTCTGACAGGAAAAAATTTCCAACTAAGATTTTGACAACCAACAACATCTATCTAAACATGAGGAAAATCCAGGTGTGGCGGCACAAACTTCAAATCCCAGCAGCTGAGAGTCAGGGGCAGGTGTATCTTTTTAAGTTCCAAGTTAGGGTAATATAGTGAGACCTTGTGTCAAAACATACAAACAACAAAACAAAACAAAAGAAAAAAAACCACCAAAACAACAAAAAATAAAACAACCCAAAAGAGAATTTTTAAAAATCCAGGATAGAAACCGGGTGGTGGTGGCGCACGCCTTTAATCCTAGCGCTCAGGAGGCAGAGACAGGCGGATCTCTGTGAGTTCGAGACCAGCCTGGTCTACAGAACTAGTTCCAGGACAGGCAGCAAAGCTACACAGAGAAACCCTGTCTCAAAAAAAATCAATAAACCCAAAACAATCCAGGATAGAGAGCTGGGCAGTGGTGGTGTCTGTCTACCTTTAATCCCAGCACTCAGTAGGCAGAGGCAGTCAGATCTCTGAGTTCGAGGCCAGCTTGGTCTACACAGCGAGTTCCAGACAGTCAGGGAAACTCTACACAGTGAAACTCTCGTCTCAAAACAAAACTGCAGGATAGAATACAGGCATTTTCAGGTACACAGAGTCACCAAACAGCTTACCAACCTTTCTGAGAATGAGGTTGGGAAATGTGTCCCAGCCAACCAGAGAAGTCGACCCAGAAAGCAGATACTGCACACGACACAGACATGACCCTGTCACTGTGCTGGTGGTGCTGCCACACAGCCCAGGAAAGGGAAGGACGCAAAGGTCAATGGTGATGAGCAACCCCTGGATCACAGCCGGCTACCAGGACAGGAGGCCCCTGCAGATCTTCAGGAAGATGGACGGTATGACTCCCAAGTATCCATAAAGCAGGCATTTAAACACTTTGTTTTCTCTGGCATTGAAATCCCTGACTACTTACTGACTCTAAGTCTGAGCTAAGGATTTACTGGGCCTCCACTTGTGGCGCCATAGGGTCTATCTGTACACCTGGTACTAAAAATGAAGCCTCAGGCAATCTTCAGACAAAAGATAGTATGGATAATACTAAGCCTCCCAAATGCACATGTGCAAGCATATGTCTCCTAGCAACCTTTCACCTGGGATGTCATGGCTGCTGACATCTGTCAGAGTCACTGTGCTGGTGACATTGCCACTCCGTTTCCAATTCACCCTCTGTGAAAGTGGGCCTGGGTCCCTTAAAGCGTTTTCTTCCACTGGAGTAATGGTAAGCTTTTCAGAAGAAGCCGGTGGAAACAAATCAACTAGACAAAAGTAGAAACAAGATTGCAGGACAAGAGAGCTGTGCTTCCTGGTTCTGGGGTGTCACTGGGGAGTCCCCACAGTACAGGTCTTTCCTGGCCTCTGGTTCCTGCTCTGCCAGGCTACCCAGGGGCCACCTTCAGTCACCTCCCCAGATCAGCTTTCTCAGGCACCAGTGTGGCTTTCCTGCTGTGCAGTGAGCCATAGGCATGTCTTGTGCAAGGTCAGCCCAGGGGCTGTGGCTGCTGCTCAGATCTGTTATTCCTGTATTTTAAGGTTTCCTTTTCGACTAGCCAACCCATGGCTACCCTAATCTCCTGTTACAGTGAATGATTCTTATATTAAACTTCCTTTTTTTCAGGACCAGGGAGACAGCTCAGCAAATAAAGGAGTCTGACGATCTGTTGGACAGACAGAAATGACAATTGTTCTCTAATCTCCACACGTGTTGGGGCACACCGCTCACCCATTCCACCCCTCCCAAAAAATTAGTAAAGCACAGAGACTATAGACCTGGTAGCAGTGGGGCATGCCTTTTTGGTTAGTTTGTTTTTGCTTTTGGAGACAGGGTTTCTCAGTAGCTACAAAGCCAGTCCTGGAACTCACACTGTAGACCAGACTGGCCTCAAACTCACAGAGATCCACCTGCTTCTGCCTCCTGAGTGCTGGGATTAAAGGCATGTGCCACCATTGCCCAGATGGGCATGCCTTTAATCCTAACACTTGGCAGTCAGAGGCAGGCATAGCCCTGAGTTTAAGGTTAGCCTGGTCTATAGAGTGAGTTTCAGGACAGCCAAGAATACACAGAGAAATCCTGTCTCAAAAAACAAACATAAAAAACAAAACAAACAAACAAACAAACAAACAAACAGAACATTTAATGCTCTTGCAAAGGACCTGGGTTTAGTGCCCAGCACCCACATGGCTGCTCAGAACAATCTAATCTACTAATTTCTACTTCAGGGGAACCGATATCCTCTTCTGGTCTCTTTGGGTACCAGGTACACAAACACTATTCACATACATACATGAAAGCAAGACACTCATCTATAAATAGGTACTTATATATAAAATAAAAGTAAATAAACCTTAAAGACAAAACAACAACAACAACAAAAAACCCTTCCAAACTTTCTTGTTCAAATTCCTGTGCTGTTTCTCTGACCTGGATTGATACACAGAAGGCTATTAAAGACAAGCTTTCTCTCACCTTAATGTCCAAACAAGGCCTGACTGTGCAGAATGAGGGAGCTGAGCTACTAGGGCAAAGGCCGCCGCAAACTTTTCACCATTGCTCTTTTGACAATCTACTTGAAAATAACTATACTGTTGCATGTTTTTACAACAAGAGGTGATCCATTTTAAATTGTGTCATGGTCTCTGAACAGGTGGTAGGACAGAGACAACTGAGAGAAAAATAACCAGCTTAATATGAACTATGTCACTTCAGGCTTTTAAAAAATGAAGTCATTTTCAGAATCCATGAAAACTTAATTTTATACTCTACACATCTAGAGACTAAGTAACAAAACTAACATTAATTTAAATTCACATGTTCCCGTCTTCCATCTGCCCCATCACAACACCACCTGAGCAGATCTAACTGCTACCCCGAGTGACCAGCACAGGGCCAGCTGTTCTAGTCACACATCTGGAGATCCTCCCCCTGGGACAGGCAAGACACATATGAATGTCCCCTTCACTGTGACGGACCTAAGTTCAAGTTCTAGTATGTACATATGTGTATGTGTGCCTGTGTACGTGTGTGTGTACGTGTGTGTGTGTGTGTGTGTGCGTTCCACGTCCTCTTGACAGGATCTCATGTATTTCTAGCTGGCCTCAAACTCAAAGAAAACAATACACTTCTGCTCCTCCTGCCTCCACCAGCTGAGCACTGGAATCACAGGTGTGCATTATCACACCCACCTGGCTTAGGTGGTGCCGCCACCCAGGGCTTCGTGCATGCTAGGCCGACACTCTGCCAACTGAGCCACATCCTAGCTCCTCTGCTGAGTTCCCAGGCCTGAGGCAAGACTTCCTATCACTGTACTCCTACCAGGAAGCCCAGCAGGTTTGGAAAGAAAACGATGCTCTTTAGTGTCCCCCTAAAACTCATTTGTTGAAGGGTCAGTCCCCCCTGCAAACAGAATCCAGGGCCTTTGGGAGGTCACTGGATCTTGAGGGCTCTACCTCATGGGTAGCCCATGCATTGTGGACTTGGATTTATGGGTTTGGAGGAGCCTTTCCTCAGCTTTGCCTGAACAAGCATTTCTTCTATAACATTCAGCTTTAGTAGACTTAAAGCAACTGAGCCAAGCAACCATAGACCGAAAGTATGAGCTCAAACACCCCTTTCCTTCTTTAGGTAGATTTTCTAGGGTACTTTATCACAGCAATTGAGATGTAACCAACATAACAGCCAACAATTATCTGTAAACATTCTAAACTGTTAGTTGCTATTGAATAGCCAATGCACTGCCACAAAAAAGATCACCACCTGATGACTTCAGGCGCAACAGAGCTGAGGGAGAATCAGACAAATAGGCAGGACTTTCTAATAACTTGATCTGTTGTCCTCTTCTGCACACATGTGCACATACATACATACATGAAGACAAGACACACACAGAAGAGCTCTGGAAGGAGGTTCAATGGGACAGTGACAAACAGCAGCTCTACAGGGCTGTCTTCTCTGCTGATGCAGACACCATTCCCTTCAGGAAGGGAATGCAATGTCCACGGAGTCAGGGCACTGTGGTTTGGGGTGATTCATGGCATGAATC